GAAATTGACGAAGATGGTCCAATTGAAGAAAATACACCCCACGATCAAATACGGAAAGAACCTTATCCGCTTCCCAAGGAATTCGAATGGTGTACGATTGATCTTAACAATGAGTCCGAGGTATGTACTTGACCGAGAATGTATGGTTTTTTTATATTTCTACATGAACATACATTCTTCAGCCCGTTATACTTTAGTGTGTTCTAATTCTTGCAATTAAAGAACGATGTTCCATTTTTCTTATAGCTAAACGAGCTCTACACACTCTTGACAAATAACTATGTTGAAGACGAAGATGCAATGTTCCGATTCGATTATTCGGCAAAGTTTCTGAAATGGTGAAGTGTGAACGATCACGAAATCAGATTAGATTAGATGAAAATGATTAAAACAGAACCTGCCAAGTTAGACTAGATGAATTGACCAAGTAGGACTCTTCAGATTAGATGAAACCAGCAAAAGAATCCTCTTTAATGTTGCCGTTGTTTGTTTGTTTATTTGCTTACTATATATCTTATGTGACATATATGGTTGATGTGAGATTATAACGGCCGAACTTGTTTTAGTATTCTAACGCAACTAACTTAATATTAGGGCACTGCAACCACCAGGCTACAAAAAAACATGGCATTGTGGTGTTCGTGTAACATCCAACAAAAAACTCGTGGCCTTCATTAGTGGAACTCCAGCAGACATCCGCATATACAAATCGTACGTGTTTTTATGACTTTTCATCGTTATGCTCGTCTTACATGCGAACGAAGGCTGATGCTATCAAATATTTCATTCCTCTTCCAAATAGAACGCAGCATCTGGTCGAGATAAACTTCCTTTGCGTTCATAAGAAGCTACGAAGCAAGCGATTGGCACCAGTGCTGATCAAAGAGATTACTCGTCGAAGCCATCTCCAGGGAATCTTTCAAGCTGTTTATACAGCCGGTATTGTACTGCCCAAACCTATTTGTAGCGCACGGTAAGAGTGATGATGTTGACAGAGGACAGACAGATGACCGGCCTGTTTATTAATTGGTCGGTCGGTCGGTCGGTTGGTCGGTGTTTATGTCAAGCTATTAATATTCATTACGCTTTCACAATATTTGCGTCCTTTTCCCACTATTTACGTTCATTTCCGTTATTTTACTATCAACGTTTTACCGAATGCTTGTAGTTACTTTCACCGTAATTTGAATCCGAAGAAACTTATCGAGACCAACTTCTCCCGTCTTCCTCCGAACATGACTATGTCGCGTATCATCAAGAAATTTAAACTTCCAGCTGAAACTGCTACGCCCGGGTTGCGACCGATGAAATCAAAAGATGCGCCCGCAATTAGGAAATTGCTCAATGAGTATATGAACAAGTTTAACTTTGTTCCAGTCTTCAAGTCGGATGAAGAAGTTAGACATTGGCTTCTACCAAAAGAAGGTGTCATTTGGTCATACGTCGTTGAGGTTCGTATGATTATGTTGCAATTCTATACGATATGACCATAATTGTAAAGGCGATATTATTTGTTACACGCGTTCTAACTTTATTATAACGATTGGTCAGGATTCTGCTACGAAAACGTTGACAGACTTTTTTTCTTTTTACTTTCTGCCGTCAACGGTAATCGGTCACGCAGTACATAAAACCATTAATGCTGTATATCTGTATTACTACGCAGTAAAGGAGACTGAAGAGAAGGCTGTCAAAGGACGACTCCAGGCACTTATCAAGGATGCCTTGATTTTGGCAAAACAGGTATGTGGTTGACCAGCATAGACAACTTATTTATTCAGTATGCTTACAACTCATACGCAAGGTTTGGTCTCATAAAATCTTTTCTCCTGCCTGTAGCAAAATATCGATGTGTTCAATTGTCTAGATATCATGGAAAATAATCTGTTTATCGAACCTTTGAAATTTGGTGCAGGAGATGGCACGTTAAATTATTACATGTATAATTGGAAATGCAAAAATATGGATAGCAGTAAATTGGGTATCGTCATGTTGTGATATTGCAGGATGAAGAAAATATTTAAATGTACCAAAAGGAGTGAATAGCCAGATGAATCAATATCTGAGTGTAAATGTATCGAAAGCTACTTGTAAATTTGAGTAAATGTGAAATTTATACCAACTTGTACTTAGGCACGTAAAATAACAAAGCTTCGAATTTAGAAAGTATTTAAGAAGTCTATTGACCAATTCAATTTGGAATAAAAGATCAGTGTTTAAAAGACGAGTGTTTTGGTATCATCAATATCAGCTGAATAAACATATTATTATTAAACATTTATATGCTTCGGTAGTAGAAAAATTTAGTGCAAGCACAGCTACATTCCTTTACCCCAAATCACCACGGTTTTTTCCTAAATGAGATTCAGATCGTGTAACACATACTATGTAATAGAATTGTCGAGCATGCAGCTGACAATACATGGCACAGAAGGCTTCTACTGCGCTCAAGACTTTTGAGGTTAGTAGATTACATTTGGGCCAGACTGCAACAAAATCAGACATTATTATGGTAAATGAGAGGCTAGTGTGTCTGAAAGTTTACAAATAATATTTTGATTGAGACTTTAATCGCGTTCTTTTTAGTTAATCCACAGTGTGTAACGAAAAAACCGCTATCATAGAATATACCATAACTCAATGGCCATGCAAAATGCTTATAATGTGCTTTATTGCAGGTAAAATTTTCAATACAAAATTC